AAAAAAGATAAGCAACCATAAAGAGAAAAAACAGAGCACTCAAACACTCAAACTCTCTTTCCAAGAGATCTGCCTAAATTCAATTTCTTCTACAACTCCAGCCTACACAAATGTAGGACCTGGCACTGCAGTTTATTTATAAACCTGGTCAAAGAATACAGGGAGAAAATTCTACAAAACTGGAAGTCAACGGACCAACAAAGCACTTTAGCATTATATTTATAAAAACAAATTTCGTATGTTAACTGAGCATAGGCAAAATCTACCCTTAGACCTTGTTTTTCAAGCTGTTCTACAAGGTTTTCAGCAAATGAATGCTAACTCTTTTGTACACCACATCAGTGCGCCAATAAGAAATGTCATTGTTGGGATAGATGAAAAATAATTTAATTGGTTTATTCTCCCTCTCCAACAACCTTTCTTTATTTTTAAATTGTGAATCTTACTTGTTACTTGTTTATACCTACCTGTAGTTTTTAATACAGTACTAGTTGCGTATTTGTGCCCAGCTTCCATTTATTTTGAAAACAAAGTGGATACACAATGGTTTTTATATACCTTAGCTGTTCATGTTCTCAAATTCTACACTTTGTCTGAGATGACCAGAGAATATATACATGCAATTAACTAATGCAAAGATACTGTACATTCCAGTATTATTTAATTTACTGTTAAATCTCTGCTGGAAAATTCTTTACTTGCTGTATCATAGATTAATCCTTTCTAAAACAACATTCAGAAGCAAAATCAATCACATAGGTCGAATCAGTTACAGATTAAAACTTAAGAATACCACCCAAACACTTTGCAAGGTAACGTTTTTTACTTTCTTAGCACAACGCAAATATTTTTCCTAGTTTCCTAGGAGGAAAAATAAAAAAGGGTAAAAAAGTATCTAGGTAGAGAGGCAGAGAAAATTAAACTGTTACAATCTCGAGAAGAGATGCTCAACATTTCACTTGATCCTTCCCCTCATTCAAGACTCAATCTTGCCATGCACTGATGTTCACAACAGAACTGTCACAGGCTTCAACAGAAATAAGATCTTACATACACCAAAGCAAAAAAATGCCACTTCCGTATCACTAGTGGAGCAGAACTCTTCCTGTTGTAGAAACCCATGAGAACAAAGTATTCTTCAAAAATCAGTTCTGAAACAGGCTACCTGCTGCTTTTATCTCTCATTTAAAGAAAAAAATATTCCTGCCACGTGTTAAACCACAAAATGGCTGAGTTTTAGTAACAAGCACATCAGACAGAAAATTATCTTTTATTTTCCAACTACAAACCTGTCTGCATTTCAAAAGCTGGGACAGAGCAAGACATTTTTCATGTTATGCAAAAACAGAGTCAATATGATGACTTTGTACGTACATACTGCCAACTGCTTTCCTCAAGCACAGAAGACTACCTTAGGCAGACAGAAAAGAAGCTTAAGCAACACAGGGATGTCTAGAAACCATCATGAGTCATACCTGAACAGGAAGTTAACAGAGACATCGCTGACATACCGTGTAACCTGGACAGCATCGAGCCTTGGTATGTGTCTGAGACAGTTTTGCTGACAGGATAGAAGCTCTTTTGTTAAATTACTAACGTTATTTAGAGGAGATGTAACACCTCCCACCAGAAATGGACTGGGCTGTTGTTCCAGTCATTTAGGGAGAGTTGTTTTGCATTGCCCTTCTGAATACCAGCTTTTCTAACGAGTGTTAACACTGCGATGCAGCATAAGAAAAGTCCTTGTACCTCTGTTCACTCAAGGAGTATACAGAATGACAGTATGCAATATTGAAATAAATCATTCTGGGTTTAAAATACAAAATCCTTTAAAAAATCAATATAATTTTCCATACAGTTAACTGAAAAGGTGTTTTGTGTTCTCATATGATTCACAAATCATCCTATCTAAAACAGTCAAAGATAGACCGCTGGCTCTGCAAGTTTGCCAAGAGACTGTATTTTGCTATTATAATTTTGGCGGAAGGATCTTGTACTGCATCACTAGTCCAAACCTCCTACACTGTATTTCCTACTACTAATACCTTAAAGGATGCCAACTACTTCACTAGGGCCCAGGGTACAAGAATCTTTTTCATCCTAAAATTAGTACTCTAACAGCAGAGGCTTTTATCAAGTAGGATTACTCTGTTAGTTCAATGATCAATGCCAAGAACTTCAAGTTTTATAATTAGATGTTGCACCTTCTGCACACCGTTCATTTACTACCTCTCCCAAAAAAAGGCTTACAAATCCAAATAATCAGGAATATGAAGCCACAATTTTTAAACTGCAGAAAACTGGAGGGGAAAAAAAAGAAGAAAAAAATTTAAAACATTTTTTAGAACTCAGCTAAAACTTCCTAACACATTATTTCAAACTCCAGACACTGTAGTGGAATATGGAGACCAAGAAGGGCAACAGAAGACGTTTACCTGAACATTGTTCAAGATCATGGCACAGCCTAAGATAAATAAACATCCTAAACCAGAAAAAAACTGTTCTGTAAAATACTCATTCTGAGGTAGAAGTCGCCAATCTTCCTGTCTCTGAATCACATGCCAAAATCTTCATATAAGAGATATATATGGGATCTGTATCACGTATTCTGGAGAGCCAAAGGACAAAGAAGCAGCAGGACAGTTCACAGACAGCAAAAGACAGCAGCTTCCAAGCCAACTTGTGGACTGATGCTACTGGTCTCTCCCTGATGAAACAACATTTCAGATATTCCTGACAGCACAGCCCTGGCAATACAAGACTGAGCATGGAAGCCACACTCAAGCTTTTCAAAAGTGGCACAATGTTCCACCACCAACAGTATGGTAAATCACATCTCTTCCAGGATTCAGTCAGACGATGCACATCCACACTCAATCTGGCAGTGTTTCTCTACATGCAGCAACTCTAAGGAAAACTCTCCAGATACCTTGTAAGGGTCAGAACCCCTGAATCTTCCACAACCCCTCCTGCCTCCAAGTGACGTGACCTCACATCTAGTAAACCCAACACACTTGACCAGTTACTGCAAAGTCATTAGTACTTTTGAATTAGTCATCTGAATAACGCACTTCAAGGAAAACAGAATCTATTTATGGGGTTTTTATGATTTCTGGTGATACCATAATTTGTCTCTGGCCTCATAACTTCTTCAATGGAAAATACAATTTAAAGCCAGAAGCAAAACCAGAAAAAGCCAAGATTTTATAGAACACAAAGCTTCTCTTTAGAATAAACATCCATTCCATACCTTGCCCAGTTTTTTTAAGTTTAATCACAGCTTTACTTCAACTTAATTGTCTGTTATTTTACGAACAGAACTGAATATCTTATCAGGTATCAGTGACTTATTATAATCCACCTTTCAAATCCATTTTATAAATTTACTTGGATAGTGCTACAAAGTTAAATATAGAAATATAATCTTTTGGGTACACTTCAGCAAAAGTTCTCAAAAACTATGCATAGAATATTGTTTTGTAACTGCCATTGTGCATCCTAGGTGAATACAAAAGTAGGCTAAATATATACCAATAGGTAAGGTAGTACAGAATAATCCATGTCATTAACTCTCTAAAGAAAAAAACAAAACAGGAAAAATACAGCTTTCTACACACTCATTTCTGCAGAGGATCACAGGTGTTATATTTCATACCTAAAAGCACTTTCCACACCAGTATACGATACATGGATGGGAGCGGAAACCTCTGACTAAATGTGCAAAGCTTCTCAATATCTGTAGAGAAGAGAAAAAAAAAATTAAGGTAAATTTAAATATAATTATAAATAGGTTTGAGTCTCTGACGTACCTAAGAATGACAAATCCTTAGCTGCAGATCAAAATCCCCGCTTTCATCAAATACTATCAACAAATGCTTTCACCACTTCAACTGAGAAGAGAATGTGCCCTATAAACTGCAACAATTTTGAAAAATATATACATTGGCTTGGTTTACAATAAAATTACCCTAGGTTTCACTAGGTTGTACCATTTTTATAGTCATTTCGTAAATCGTGTTGCTATGTCAAAACAATTAAGGGCTTTATTAAAGGGACAACATTTATCTTTCTATTCTGTTAGAGATTGGCACTCCTCAGGGACCAACAGCAATAACAAAAGCTTCAGTGTTTTGAGGTTAGATAGAATTAACAGCACAAGATGATACATTTTGAGATTAAAATTGCTTTCATTAAAATCTTTGTTTCTTGGGCATAGAGAATGAGAGAAGAAAAAAAAGAAACAAGCAAGCACACAAATCTTAAATAGTTTTAAAAATCAAATTTTCAGACCTTTGAAACTCAAAGGACTGCTGAAAGATTAGTGGTAAAAGATGCAAAACTATGAGTACTAAGCACAGCAGCTAAACATTTTCTATTATTCCCTCCCCAGGCCCAAATCACCAAAGTAATAGAGCGAACAGTGAAATCAACTTGCCCAACCGGTCATCTTTTAACAGAATTTCCAGTGACTTCTTTTCTTCAACTCCACGAAATCCCACTTTTTCGTAATACACTGAGCGAAAGTTTCTCTGAGAGTCGTCAGCCATGATTGAATCCTTTTGGAGAAACAGTAATTCTCTTAAGACTTACAAGAATACAGTCCTGTTATGTTAAGGTCAAGTACTTTCGCACACTGATAAAAGTTGACTGCTTATGTCTCTACAGTACTAATAAACCCTACAGAATACGAAAATCTTCCAAGATTTTTTTCATCATATGCTAACATAGACAATCATAAAAATAATTGAATCTAAACAATGTCTAAAGATATCCAATTTCCAAACAAAACACAGGGATTTTTAATTTTTTTTTTTATTCCTGTAATAAGTTACACTAATTTTCAAAAAGTTTCAAAAAAAAAAAAAATGCTGGAGAGACACTTAGTCTTCTATGTGATACTGTGTATTTCAAAACCAATATAAAAAATACAGTTAAGAGTCTGACCAAATTTTGGCTACAGAAACCCTAATGAAGTACAACTGTTACCCAGATAAGTAAAATCATCAGGTTTCACACTCACCAGACAAGGTAACCAGCAGCAAGGGCATTCCAGTGTTGCCCTCAGCAGCACAGGGGTGACAGGAAAGAATAAGGCTAGGTATGTAGTTTGTTGTTAAGTTGCAGATTTGAATTAAATGTTCACGTTGTTATCAGATGCTGCAACAGCCACAGTCTTGAGCTTGTTACTCCAGTACCAAAAAGAAATAAGTGTCTCATCCCTATGCTGGAAACAATGGTAAATTTCAGTGAGTACTCTGTGTTTCATAACAAATGTAACTGACATTTCAGTTCAGTTCAACCTTCTAAATATCAATTCTCTCTCCTCTGCAGGCTTGCAAATGAGTTCTGTTTTGTAACTCAAAGGACTAAAAACAATCTTAACTTTTATGCCCAGTGACAGCAGCAAAATTTGGAGAAAAATAATTTGAGCGAGGAGCAATGGGCGAAGGATGCATTGAAAAGCTTTCCTGGTTAAATTCTTCTTTTCCTTGCTGAAACAAAGCACACATCAGGAGCAAAGCATTTGCAGATGTAAACCAAGGCCACAATTCTGCAAAGAATGCACATATTTGAATTTGTATATCCACTAGGCCTGTTTGCGTTTCAAATTAAGTCAATTTTTAGTGCTTTGTAGGATCAGGACCAAGATCAGACAGAAAAACATAAACCAGCAAAGGACTTAATTAATGTTTTCTGAGATAGTATTTGACCTATCTCAAAACCAGAGAAAAAAATATTTATATTGCTTGCAAGACATTCCAGTTGTGCACTGTCCTTATGAAAATGACTATGATGTTCATGTATTGTGGATTTAAGGGTCCATTGATCACAGTGTTTACTAGTTACATTGCAGCCATGTCTAAAAGCAGATTTATGATGCTACAGACACTACATTTAAAATATTTGAGATTTTTAAAATCTGAATTTAGTATGTACTATTTAGAAAACATTTAACCCATACCACTTGTGGAAAGCTGACAATAGAGTCAAGTATCATTTGAAAAATAACAGCACGATCTATAAAAAAGGAATGCTATTTCAATAATTTCAAACTATCACTGTACCAGCAGTACATTTTATTTACTCAGTGGAAAAAAGGAGGAACGCTGTTTCCTCCCGCCCTCGCTCCAAATTTAGTATATATATTTTCATGTTAGGCAAACAACTAGAAAAAGGAAGGGGGAAAATAAATCCCTAGCCAGCTCACTGGAAGCATTCTGTACAGAAGAGTACCATTAACTCACTCCGTCTTCAAAGATTAATGCATTTTCAGCCTTAGTAGCACTTCTCATCATATTATTAAATTTCACGCCAGGTGATTTTTAACAGCAGCAATGAAACAGAAATACTTCGCAAAGAGCCAGACACGACGCCAGCACACTGCTGCCCCACCACAGGCGGCCCTCCCCTCCC